CACGCAAAATGCTATAAGAAAGATCGTGTTTAGGAGCCTTCAGATGACAGCCTTTGGAAGGGCAATTTTGACCCCGTCTCCGAGACAGACAGGGTCGCAATAGAGGTCAAAGTAGTAAAAAAACAAAAGAAGTGGAAGAAGAAGAAGAAGAGGATGGAGATTATGATGGTGATAATGGCGATGATGAAGATGATGGTGGAAAAGAAGATGAAGAAGAAAAGGTGGTGAAAATGATGAAGAAAAAGAAAGAGATGATGATGAAGAAGAAGAAAAAGAAAAAGTAGACGAAGAAAATAAAAATAAAAACGAAACCAAAATAACGATAATAAGAAAAACAAGAAGAGCGAGAAGGAAAAGGCGATGATAACTAAGAAAAAAGAAAAAGAAAAAATATCCTTACTCCTTCGTGTCGGGGCTGATCGGCTCCTTGTCCTCGTAGGGGTCAACCTTGAGGTCATAGAGCTCGGGCTGCTTGGTCAGGTCATGCATCCAGGTCGGGTGGCAGTGGCAGCCGACGGAGTGCCCCCAGCCGCACTGGGTGCTGCCCGGGTGCCACTTGTGCTTGAACAGATACATCTTGTAGATGTGCTTGTCTGTGGGGGTCGACAGAGGGTTTGAACACATTATTTTTGTTGATATTTATTCATTTATTTATTTATTTTCTCTCTCTCTCTCTCTCTCTCTCTCTCTCTCTCTCTCTCTTTCTCTCTCTTATCGCTCTCTCTCTCTCTCTTTCTCTCTCTCTTTCTCTCTCTTCTTTCTCTTTCTCTCTCTCTCTCTCTCTCTCTCTCTCTCTCTCTCTCTCTCTCTCTCTCTCTCTTTTCATTATTTTTTTCCCTTTTTCTTTGTTTCTTTTGCGTCCTTCTTGACGTCTCTGATTCGTCCTTCTCTCCTTCATCTCACACCTTTCTCTATTAGAAAAGCGAGAGGGAAGTGCATGCTTTATTTCTGAATTTCATAAGAAACTACTTTTCGATTATTTTTTACTCTTCTCTTCTCTGTCTCCTCCCCTTCCTTCCTCTCACTAACTCGTATTCCTGTCTTTCTATAAAATAAAAAGAAAATGAAAAAAGAAACCAAAGAACAGAAGAGAAAAAATAAAAAGAAAATACAAAAAGGAGAGGAGAGAGACGAAAAAGGAGAAACGGAGAATAAGATATAATAAATAACAATATGATAAAATACTGATAATAACAAAAAAAAAAAAAAAAGAAAAGAAAGGGACCCCCCCCAACACACACACAGACCTCCACACAAACCCCTCTCACACCACCCCATACCCCCCACCCCTCCAACCCACACACACACCCCATACCCTCCTCCCTCCATACCCTCCACCCATACCCCCCCACCCCTTACCCACCCCCCTCCCCACCCCCCAACCCCCCCTACCCGAGCCGGTGACGCCGGACCGCGTGGACGTTCTTCCGGCAGTGGTGCAGGAAGATGCGCGGAGGGTGCGAGGCCGGGCGGGACTTCCCCTGCAGGAGGTCGGCGATGCTCTCCCCGTCGAGGTCCTGCAGAAGGAGGAAACGAAGGAGGAGGGATAACGAAGCGATGGATTTTTGGGAGAGGAGAAGGGGTGATTTTTCAAGGGGGATTTTAACGAGGGAAAGCGATAAAGGATTTTTTGGAGAGGAGAAAAGGGTGATTTTCAAGGGGATTTAGAAGGAGGAGACGGAGGAGGGATAACGAGGGTGAAGCGATGCAGATTTTTTTTTGTGAGAGGAAAAGGGGTGTTTTTTTCAAGAGGGATTTTAGGATATTGATATGTAGGATCGGAGATGTAGGATTGAAAACTCTGATGAAGGATGGGAAAATATGAACATTTAGGTCTTGGTGGTCACCGATGCGCTGTGTGAGGAACTAAAACTAAGAATGATTTAGAGGAGGTATATATATATATATATATATATATATATATATATATATATAATATATATATATATATATATATATATATATATATATATATATATATATATGAAAGAGAGAAAAAAAGAGACAGACATACAGAGACAGAGAAAAGAAAGCCGACGAGAGATCGTCCCTCCAGCCCCTTCCCCACACCTGCCCCCCCCCCCCCGAAATCCCACCTGGCGAGGCTTGAGCGCGTGCGACTTGGCCATGATGTCCTGCATGGTGGGGAGGCCGGCCAGGTCGAGGACGGTGGGCATGAGGTCCATGAGGGAGGTGGGCGTGTCCAAGGTCTTGCCCGCGGGGATGTGCCCGGGGTAGCGGTAAATACCCGCCACGCGAATGCCTCCTTCGGCGCCGCCCATCACTTTTCCTCCTGGGTGTGGGCGGGGGAGGATAGTGTAGAGATGGGCGCGAAAGGTTGCCGTTTTGAGGGAGAAAATGTCACTTGAAACCATTTCTTTATCTCGAAATTTTAAACTTGAAATATTTTCTTATATAACCATAATATATGGAAAACGACCTTTGGTGAAATTAATATATGATTTATACATAATGATATATAAACTAATATATAGATTATACATAATCATCAAAATAATGTAAATGATACTATACGTTACCAAAAAAATGTCAGTGATATGGCACAAAATAAGGAAATATTCATAGATGTATTAATGCATTATCTACCATCAATTCTACCAAATACCTCCTAAAATTAAATTGAATGCTTAATTTGAGTTTGGCATTGCTGGCATTTTCATTCATTCTTAGCATTACTTTATACCCTCAAAAGATCCTTTGTAACCATCACTTTTTACCCTGAATTAAAACGGCAGATGCAAATACACCTGAAAAAAAAAAAAAAAAAAAAAAAAAAAAAACACGCTCACACACAAATCATCATAAACATGAGCAACATGGAACACCATGGTACAAATTTAAACCAGCCATTATAGAATCACCATCAACACAAACCACCATTACCAACCCTCAAACTATCCATCATAAACAATACCATAAACACTAAAACACCATTATCTACACCATCTACCCCTTAGGCGCCCATTATGAACACCACCAACACCAAACACCATCGTATACCCTTAAACCGCCCACCTTAAACAACCCCAGTAACACAGACCGTTATCTAAACCGCCCACGACGAACACCAACCACCATTACCCACCCTTAAACCGCCCATTGTAGCCCCCGATTCGCCGACCCTCCAGATCCAAGGCCTCGAGATGGGCGCCCTGATCCGAAGTGAAATACACGATGGTGTTGTCCTCGAGGCCCAGCTCCTTGAGGGCGGCCATCAGAGCGCCCACGCCCTCGTCCATCTCCTCCACGTTGTCTCCGTACCTGCGGGAGGAGGACTTGCTGAGGACTTTTTTTTTTTTTTTTTTCTTTTTTTTATTTTTGATTTATTTGGGTGTGGACTGATATCGGTCTCATATTTATTTCATTTTGATATATAGTTATATCATCAATTTTATTATATGCATTACAGTATACATATATATATAAACTATTAGCATATATATATATATATATATATATATATATAATATATATATATATAATATATATATAATATATATATACATATAATATATATATATATATATATATACATATGTAGAGTGTGTGTGTATATATTTATATTTTCAACTATATCACTCAAATCTTAGTCTGAGAATCAACATACTCCCCGTGCTTGCTCACGCCCTTCATGTGAGGCGCAGAGTACATGGGCGTGTGGGCGTGTCCGAACGAGTGGAAGAGGAAGAAGGGCTGCTCGTCGTTCGCGTGCTCCTCCAAGAACTTGCGGGACTCCTGCACGAGGCGCTGCGAGAGGCCGTCCAGCTGGATGGGCTGCTCCACCACCTGGTCCTGCCGCATCAGGAGGGAGTTGGCCATGCGCTGGAGCCACGGGGAGACCTGGTGGGAGGGAAGGAAGGGGAGGGAGGGAAGGTTGGGAGAGGAGGGAGAGAAGAGGAAGGAGGAGAGGGAGGGAAGGAGGGTGGAAGGTAGGAGAATTGGATGAGAGAGAGGGTTGAAAGGAGGGAGAAAGAGTAAAAAGTTGAAAATAAGAAAAAAGTAAAGGAATGACTAAATAGCTTAACAGACGAATGAATCAATCAATAGACAGATAAATTACTCAAATAAACCTGCCTACCAACTACAACTCAAAAACTCCTGTGGCCTAACTCACTCCCCACAGCCACCAACAACCTGACTCTTCCCCTTAGAGACTCCTTCAACATGACTCACCCTTAGAGACACCTACAGCCTGACTCACCCCCCACAGACACTCATCGTTGATGCCGACGTGCGCCACCGTGAACCAGTAGACGAAGAAGAGGGCGTCGATGAGCACCAGCAGGAGGAAGAGGGATCGAAGTCGCCAAGAGAAGTACTTTCTTCCCAAGGCGAGGCTCACCATGGCCACTACCCACGTTCCGAGGAGACGCTGAAAATAAGTGTAGTTTTTGAGGGTATAAGAAGGGTGGGGGAGTATTAAGAGAGGGTGTTAGGACGCGTGTGTTGGGTGGAATGTGTTCAGCAGAAGTGTGTGTATGTAGCAAGGTCCCATCAGTTATTTGGTATGTCAGGGTACACATTGGAAGAATATATTAAGATATGCTATATTGTACTGCCAGAATATTAGCATATCAGGGTACGCACTGGAAGAAGACACGAAGATAAGATATATTGCGTTACCTAAATACAGCAAGGCTATAATACACTAGTGGAATACATTGTGCAGTTCCATATCACATGACATCAATGACACATTCCAGTCACCGAAACATGGATAAATGGATAGATAGACAAATAAATGAATAAACAGGTAATTAAGTAAATGGATAAATCATTAAATAAATACATAAATATATAGATAAATAAATATATGAAATTAAGAAAGGAAAACGAACAAATCAATATATAAATAAATAAGCTGATTTCTCGCGGTTAGGCGTACGGCACACATGTGCATGCGCATATAAACATCACTTCCGGGTAATAAGTGCGAACTCAACCTAATCTAACCTAACCTAACCTAATCCATCTTACCCTAACCTAACCTAATCTAACTTAACGTAATCTAATTTACTTAACCTACCCTACCGTAACCTAATCTAACCCAATGTAATAACTAACCTAACCCTAACCTACCCTAACCCTAAACCTAACCTAACTAACTGAGATGGAGAGATGGACGAGCCATCTTTTTGTTTCACCCGCGCATGCGCAGGACACCAATCGGAGGCATTTCCTGCCGTACCAACAGTCCTTCCAAATAAACAAACAAATACCTAAATACCTGAATAAAAGAAACCACGAGATTCCTACCTGGTACTCGGGCTTCTCGAGGTCGAACTTCCAGAAGGCGTGAGGTCCTCGGAACTCGAAGAAGAGGGTGACGGGGATGCCGAAGAAGGTCTGGAAGCCGTGGTTGAGGGGCCCGGGGCAGCTCCTCCCGAGGAAGTTGCAGAAGGAGCCCAGGTGCCACTTGCCTGACGAAGGGAAGGGAGAGAGGCATTGGATGTATTTTCTATTTTTAATTGTTGGTATCTGATTGTCTGTCTGTCTCTTATTCTCTCTCTCTCTTTCCTCCCCCATCCTCCCCCCTCTCTCTCTCTCCCTCCCTCTCCTCCTCTCTCCCTCCCTCTCACTCCCCTCACCCCCGTCCTCCTGCTCTCACTCCCTATGCACACATCACTCACACAAGCGGCTGTGGTGTAGTTGACCCTCGACAGCGCCGTTGCGAGCGTGACCTCGTCCAGGGGCAAGTGGGCGTGGCTAGCAACATGCGCGATGACCGGCGATCCCCATCCGTCTGACCCGACTAGACCTGAGGGGAAAAATGGCGTCTGAGGGAAGAAATGGTGATTTTTTTCTCGGTGGAAAAGGAAATCCGGTTAAGAAATGGTGTTGTGTCCGTGAGTAAAGGGTTAGAGATGTAATGGGTGTATGTGTGGAGGGGAGGATGGTGTTTTGGATAGGCCTATGAGGTAAGGTATTGTGTTGTGGTACCATGGGTAGGCCTATAAGATAAGACAGTGTGCTGAAGTAGGTTGAGGGTAAAATAATGCTATTTCGAGACGTACGTTAAGCGATTGTAATACCTAATCAGTCAGAAAAAGAACATCCCTGCATTAGAAAAAATATAGACAACCACAGCTCATAAAATTTCTTAAACATTTCCCAGAGAATTGTAGTCAAATCCCTCTCCCACCCCCCTCAAAATAACAATAATAATAAGAAAAAAAGAGAGAATATAAAGGCAATAAAAAAATAATTCAATATCAATAACAATCTTTTCAATAAATCCTTAAATCAGAATATCATAATAAAAATAATTCAATATCATAACAATCTTTTCATAAATCCTTAAAATCCAAGAATATTAAAGGCATAAATAAAAATAATTCAATATCAATAAAATCTTTTCATAAATCCTTAAAATCCCAAGAATATTAAAGGCATAATAAAAATAATTCAATATCAAATAACAATCTTTTTTTATAAATCCTTAAAATCGCAAGACCGAGTACCGAGACGTACCGTAGCGCGAGGGGTACCGGGCCGTGAGGAGGGCGGCTCGACTCGGGGTGCACATGGCGGCGGCGGCCAAGTGGTGCGTGAGCTTCATGCCCTGAGAGGCCAGTCTGCGGCGACGGAGGAGGAGGAGGAGGAGAAGGAGAAGGAGGAGAGTGTTAAGGAAGAGGAAGGGGGTTTTGTGAAGGAAGAAGGAGCCTGTGAAGCTGTTTGCTTTTTTTTATTTATTTTTTAATTTCTGTTTATCTATATATTTTTTTAAAGATAAGAGGATGTGACTTAAAGAGATAAGGAAGTTGTGACGGGGAGATAGTGAGAGTGGCGATGAAAATATTTTTTTTATCATTATAAGGGGAAGAAATATATGACTGAGATGAAGACATTCAAGAAGAGGAAGAAGGAATTAGCGAAAGAGAGGAGATAATTTGTGAAGGGGAGGAGAAAATAAGGTTTTGGTGTTTGTCATTAAATATTGAAGTATGAGAGAGATGTAACTGAGGGGATTCAACTTTGTGTTGTTGTGGAGGGAAAAAGTGTACTGCACTTTTACATCTCTCTCTCTCTCTCTCTCTCTCTCTCTTCTCTCTCTCTTCTCTCTCTCTCTCTCTCTCTCTCTCTCTCTCTCTCTCTCTTCTCTCTCTCTCTCTCTCTCTCTCTCTCTCTCTCTCTCTCTCTCTCTCTCTCTCTCTCTCTCTCTCTTCTCAAAAAAGAAGTCTCTCTCTCTCTCCCCGTCTATCTACCTTTTATCAATCCGTCTATTTAACTAGATCGCTCTCACACATACACACATAAACACAGTGAGTTATAGCACAAACATCCCCTCCAGATTTCCACTCACTTGTCAATATTAGGTGTCCGAATAGTCGTGTTTCCATAGCAACCAACATCTCCTATGCCCAGGTCGTCAGCCAGCATCACCACTATGTTAGGAGGTCGTTTCGCCGCCGCTGTGGTCGTCCCCAACGCACCCGCTACCAGCAAGAACGACCACACTTTCCACGACAACATCTCTGCCTAGAAAGCAAGATAGATAATATGAGTGTTGTATGGTATGAAGGGGAGTTTGGTAAATAGGTTATGTAAGCACGACCGAATGTATTTTTCTGTGTGTGGCGGATGTGGTGACAGAGCGATGGGTCTGTGAGTAAGTTAAGGGTGATAAGAGATAAGTAAATGAATAGGGGCGGGGGGCGGGGAGGAAAAGGTTATTCTATCGCATCATCCCGTGACTTAGTAAGCATGTTTCTCTACTGACAGATCTCCAACATTCACTTGGGTATGGGACTAACTATCAACTACAATGGTGAGATAAACAGATAAATAAAATTATGAATGTATAATTGAATGTATTACGCATACACGAAATGCTACCTAAACACAGACACGCACAAACACATACACACAAAGAAACTGACACACATAAGAACACCCAGACGTAGAAACAACCATCACACACACGCAACATCAACAGCCAAAACCTTTCTTACACAGGTCAACATAACTGCACAAACCAAAAACAACAACAAAACTAACAACAACAACAACAACAACAACAACAACAACAACAACAACAACAACAACAACAACAAAACAAAACGGGCCCAGAACCAGCCAAATAAGAGCTCACGGCAGCCTCCCGTCGAGTCAGTGCGGACGGTGGAAGAGGAGTGGGAGTCACGCTCTCGCTCTCTCGTCCCCTTTCCCTCTTATCGCGTTTATTATTAGCTGAATAATCTTGTGCATTTTTCCGGTGGATTTTTCTGGATTTATAAGTGCGTGCTCTTAGGACAATAAATCTCTTCACTCTCCTCTCTTCCCTTTGTCCTTCCGAATTATCTCTGCACACACACACACACACACACACACACACACACACACACACACATATATATATATATATATACATGTATATATATACATATATATATATATATATGTGTGTGTGTGTGTGTGTGTGTGTGTGTGTGTTGTGTGTGTGTGTGTGTGTGTGTGTGTGTGTGTGTGTGTATGTATTTATGTATGTATAAATGTATGTATGTATATATATGTGTGTATACATATATATACATATATATTTATGAACACACACACACACATCATGTGTGTGTGTGTGTGTGTGTGTGTGTGTGTGTGTGTGTGTTGTGTGTGTGTGTGTGTATGTATATTTATGGATGTATTTATGTATCTACATATAGTTGTCTACATATATAACAAGTATAGTAGAAACACCCACAATGCACGAACTAGATTTGTTGAAAAGGCGAGACAATAGTTTCGGAATCCTCGTGGGATCCATCTTCGAGGCAGAGGAAGGGCAGCTGCGGCCCAGGTTGCGACGGAGAGTGGTCACCTGGCGAAAGGCGAGTCTGCACTCTCCATCGCAACCTGGTCCACACGTGCCCTCCCTTCACCCCGAAGGTTGGGCACCTGTGCTGTTCCTTGTGTCTCCTGTGGCAAGCGGTACTTTTACGCTGTATCCAGGAGGCCCAACAACAACGCCCTCTTCTGCTATCAATGGGACACAGGCCGTCAGATGGATTGTTCAGCAGCGCATATCGTCTTCACTTCTGCTAGCGCCCATGCCCGCAGACTGGTGGATGTCTTCCTTAATCAAGCTGCTGCCTCATTTCAACCTGAACAGCAGCCGACAATCTCCTCGCTTCCCACATCCTCCGTCTTCTTCCGTATGCCGGCCACCCTTCACACAGACCGCCTGATCCATCGACCTGACCTAAATTTCCTTCGCTTCCGTTCCCCTGTCCTCACCTGCCCCGTGTTCCCCGTTTTGCCTCTCCTTCGTCTTTTACTCCTTCCATTCCCCTTCCAGTTCAGACCCGAAGATGAATTTCAGGGGGATTCCAAAACTGGCCTAACTTATTGTTTTTATTATTTTTTTTTGCCTTCGGGCGAGTACAGTGGCGACGTGTCGGCCTCTCATCCGAGGGGTCGGTGGCATGAAGTTGCAATTGTCGCCCGGAGGTTATTGATCAACTAGCTGACACACGTTGATCGAGTCGGCATTAGTCGGACTGATCCCAATTATGTGGGTTTATCTACCATAGCTTCGATACGGTAGTGTTTTCCATTCATAGACGAGTATATGCACATATTTTCACGCCAATAAAAATAATGCATTTGCTTCAAAACTTTAATCATTCAGAGATTAATTGGTAAGAGATAAAATCATCTGTGCTACGAAGCTCGAGTTCCCTGCAAGGCGATAACTTGTCTCTTGCTGAGTGGCACGCACTGACCTTGCTCCCTGAGTCCTTACGTTATCATTGTGATTATCAGTTGTACTCGTAGTTTTTATTGTAATTGCTGTCATTGCCAATTATTCACTTTTACTACCTTTCTTATTGTTGTTATTATTCCCATCATAGTTATGATCTCTATTGTTATTATTTCTGCTTCTACTTCTACTATTAATATCATCGCTTTGATCATCTGAAGTGTTATTATTATCATCATTACTATTATGACAATGGTTATCACCATCATCGTTATTTATGTGAATATCACTATATCATAATTTACATTATTGTTATCATTATAAAATTGTTAGTACCATTATATGATTTAATTATCAACCTTACTGATATTGTAATTACATTTGTTATTATGTCATTATTACTACTATCATGACATTATAATGTGGGTATTATAATCACTATCATCATTATCAGCGTTATCCTTATTGTCCTCCTCATCTCCCTCAACACTTATCATACCAAAATTACTCTATCAATTCATCTGAACAGCAAAGGAGTGTGATCATGCACCGAAGAATCACACACACACACACACGTACACACGCGCAATGTACGATAAGCCCTTTTGAAATATGATTACGTAGTATCTCGGTTGGTAACTCCCCGAAGCAGGCGACCTTGCGTGATAGGGATATATCTCATACGGTTATATCAGACTGTTTATGCATATGCTGTACTCGTTACACACACACACACACACACACACACACACACACACACACACACACACACACACACACACACACACACACACACACACACACACACACACACACACACATTATATATATATATATATATATATATATATATAATATATATATATATATATATATATATATATATATATATATATATATATATATATATATATTATATATATATATATATATATATATATATATATATATATATATATATATATATATATATATATATATATATATATATATATATATATATATATATATATATATATATATATATATATATATATATATATATATATATATATATATATATATATATATATATATATATATATATATATATATATATATATATATATATATATATATATATATATATATATATGTATATATATAAATATATGTGTGTGTGACTGTGTAAGGAGAGAGGGAGGTGGGTACTATTCTAAATATTTTTGATAACTTTCATTCCAATAACTAAATACTCTTATTAAGAGACCTTATAAGGTCATATTGTTGGAAAGTTACAGTATACCTAATAACTATAACCTCACCCGGTAAAAACTTACCTATAAGTCAGAACAATTTCTTTTGCATTGGCAGAAGAACGAGTACATTGCAATATATTACAAAAAATGTAATATATATAACAAAAATACATGTAATTAATAATACAACCTATAATAATAATAATAATAATAATAATAATAATAATAATAATAATAATAATAATAATAATAATAATAATAATAATAAAGATAACAAGAACATGATAATAATAATCATAATAATATTTATTGTCATCGTAATGATGCTCGTACTAATATCACTACTGAGAATGATGACAATAATAATGTTTATCTTGATGATGAATATTTGATTCTTAATGATACAATTAATATAGAAAACCGCAAGCATAAAATCATATAGATAAACATTTGTAAAGTGAAAAACAACGAAAATTCTTTAAACAATTGATATGAGCCTCATTTATAAACATCTCTGATCATATGTGAAAGAGTAAACAAACATACAAATACCAAAAGGTGAAAGATAATTAAACTAGAATATCATAAACCACAATACCTTCATTGTATATGCATTAGTCACCGGGGAGTTAGGTCTGTCGGTCATGTCGCTTGACCTCATACGACCTCGAAGTCACTCGGCAATGCCTACAAGAAAACCAGGTCCTTGTGGCAACTTTTCACATTATCAGGAGTACAAGCACAATGACACTATCAAGTTCCTCGTCACCTGTTCCTGTGAACACCGTGCCTTGTTCACCTGCCATGGGAACCATACCTGTTGTAAAGTGTGAATCCCACATTTCAACAACTGCATCTGATGTAAACAGTGACTTACTGTGCACACCACAGCCTGGAGTCCAGCGTGCGATGCCTGTGGTGGAAGCGGTAGCCTGTCGCAGGAAGGCAGTGCGGAAGACAAGAAGGTTTGGCGGTCGTCAGTCTGAGTCTCCTTACGCGAGGAGAAGGTTGGTCTACGAGGCGGAGAGGGAGGAGTAACAGAGCTTTATATTTATATGACCCGAGACTTATCTCTCAAAATGCAATAATGATTATCAATATACAATAAATGGATATTATCATCTCTTGTTTACTTTTGTTTCCTGTATTGTTTAATATATTAGTAATAATAAAATAAAAATAGCAATTACAATAACAATGATCATCACAATAATAATAATAATAACACTAACAATAAAATAATAATAATAATATTAATGATAACAATAATAATAATAGTAATAATGATAATAGCAATAATTATAATAGTAATTAAAATAATGGTAATAACAATATCAATTGATAATATTAATATCAACATTGATAATATTATAAAAATAAATAATATGATACTATTAGTACATAATAACGATATTAATAATATTAATAAAAAAATGATATTGATAATAATTGCAATAAAATGATGTTTCAATATAATAATAATAATAATAATTATAGTAATTACTATAATAATAACTGTAATAATGATAATGATAATAATAATA